TCATGGCAGGCAGCAGGCAGGAGAGTAGTCAGGTCCAGGCAGAGGTCATGGCAGGCAGTAAGCAAGAAAGTAGTCAGGTTTCAGACAGAGGTTATGGCAAGTGGCAAGCAAGACAGTAAAATTGGAAGTTCTGCCGGGGGATTCTGGGAGTACTATTGGAAGTCCTGCCAGGGATTCACAGATTACCATTGGAAGTCCTGGCAGGGATTCTGGGAGTACCATTGGAAGTCCTGCCAGGGATTCTGGGTGTACCATTGGAAGTCCTGGCAGGGATTCTGGGAGTACCATTGGAAGTCCTGGCAGGGATTCTGGGAGTACCATTGGAAGTCCTGGCAGGGATTCTGGGAGTACCATTGGAAGTCCTGCCAGGGATTCTGGGAGTACCATTGGAAGTCCTGCCAGGGATTCTGGGAGTACCATTGGAAGTCCTGGCAGGGATTCTTGGAGTACCATGACAGTAGTAAGGGCAGCACACCAATGGTAATAGAGTCTAGAAAGGTATTTCAATGGATGATATATAACATAAACTAACGCATTTTGCCTTCCTTCTATGCTTCCTGATGTTTTGAATGCTAAAAAGACTGGCAGAGGCTGTAGCATGTAACGAAGGGAAGGTCAGAGACATGTGACACAGAATAGGTAGGCTCCTCTGTCACTGGATAGGTGATCTCCTCTGTTGCAGGATAGGTGAGTTTCCCCTGCGGCTGGATATGTGAGCTCCTTTCTTGCTGGATAGGTAAGCTCCTCTGTTGCAGGATAGGTGAGCTCCTCTGTGTCTGGATAGGTGAGCTCCCCTGTTGCAGGATAGGTGAGCTCCCCTGTTGCAGGATAGGTGATCTCCTCTGTTGCAGGATAGGTGAGCTCCCCTGTTGCAGGATAGGTGAGCTCCCCTGTTGCAGGATAGGTGAGCTCCCCTGTTGCAGGATAGGTGATCTCCTCTGTGTCTGGATAGGTGAGCTCCCCTGTTGCAGGATAGGTGAGCTCCTCTGTTGCAGGATAGGTGATCTCCCCTGTTGCAGGATAGGTGATCTCCCCTGTTGCAGGATAGGTGATCTCCTCTGTGTCTGGATAGGTGAGCTCTCCTGTTGCAGGATAGGTGAGCTCCCCTGTTGCAGGATAGGTGAGCTCCCCTGTTGCAGGATAGGTGATCTCCTCTGTGTCTGGATAGGTGATCTCCCCTGTTGCAGGATAGGTGAGCTCCCCTGTTGCAGGATAGGTGATCTCCTCTGTTGCAGGATAGGTGATCTCCTCTGTTGCAGGATAGGTGAGCTCCCCTGTTGCAGGATAGGTGATCTCCCCTGTTGCAGGATAGGTGATCTCCCCTGTTGCAGGATAGGTGATCTCCCCTGTTGCAGGATAGGTGATCTCCCCTGTTGCAGGATAGGTGAGCTCCCCTGTTGCAGGATAGGTGATCTCCTCTGTTGCAGGATAGGTGATCTCCTCTGTTGCAGGATAGGTGAGCTCCCCTGTTGCAGGATAGGTGATCTCCCCTGTTGCAGGATAGGTGATCTCCCCTGTTGCAGGATAGGTGATCTCCCCTGTTGCAGGATAGGTGGAATCCCCTGTTGCAGGATAAGTGAGTTCCCCTGCGGCTGGATATGTGAGCTCCTTTCTTGCCGGATAGGTAAGCTCCTCTGCTGCAGGATAGGTGATCTCCTCTGTGTCTGGATAGGTGAGCTCCTCTGTTGCAGGATAGGTGATCTCCTCTGTGTCTGGATAGGTGAGCTCCTCTGTTGCAGGATAGGTGATCTCCCCTGTTGCAGGATAGGTGATCTCCCCTGTTGCAGGATAGGTGATCTCCCCTGTTGCAGGATAGGTGGAATCCCCTGTTGCAGGATAAGTGAGTTCCCCTGCGGCTGGATATGTGAGCTCCTTTCTTGCCGGATAGGTAAGCTCCTCTGCTGCAGGATAGGTGATCTCCTCTGTGTCTGGATAGGTGAGCTCCTCTGTTGCAGGATAGGTGAGCTCTCCTGTTGCAGGATAGGTGATCTCCCCTGTTGCAGGATAGGTGATCTCCTCTGTGTCTGGATAGGTGATCTCCCCTGTTGCAGGATAGGTGATCTCCCCTGTTGCAGGATAGGTGATCTCCTCTGTTGCAGGATAGGTGATCTCCTCTGTGTCTGGATAGGTGATCTCCCCTGTTGCAGGATAGGTGAGCTCCCCTGTGTCTGGATAGGTGATCTCCCCTGTTGCAGGATAGGTGATCTCCCCTGTTGCAGGATAGGTGAGCTCCCCTGTGTCTGGATAGGTGAGCTCCCCTGTTGCAGGATAGGTGAGCTCCCCTGTTGTAAGACTTTTGATTATTGGATCTTTTCTCAGCCTGGCAGAGTCACTTTAACCAAAGAGAATTGAGTGCGGGGTCAGAAATTGTGGTCTCGCTCTTTAGAATAAAGCATTTATGCAGCATTGACAAAGGAAGATTGGATGCAGATGGCGGGGTGATTGTCTCTGCATTACATCGAGTTTCCTTTATTGACTGATGGATCGCTGGGAGGAAGTTTGCTCGCTGCTAAAAATTTGATGAATACAAATAAGAGGCCGGCTACAAATCTCCGTCCTCAAAGTGAGAGATTCATTAATATAGAGCCTACCTGGAGCCATGACAGGACCTGTAATTATGTCAGAGACAGAGGGAGCCGCGCCGCGTCCCGGAATTCACAGATTGAAATGAGACTGCGGGAATTTTCCAGGGCGCTATCTAGGAAAGTGACAGTTGTGAAGAATGGATCTCCTGGGTGTGATCCTGGTTAATCACTGGAAGAGAACGATGGAAGGGCAAATTAATGGGACCCGATGGAAGGACGGAAGAGGGAATCATGGGCCTTCGGTAGTAGAGGTCACCCTGTGACTTTGAAGGAAGCTGCCATTATTGACTTGTTTTTTGAGGGTGTTAGTTCCAGGGCTGTCATCCTCATGCTTCTTGGCCGTCCATCACTGGCCTGGGCACAGCAAATATAACAAGTGTTGGGGCGGTGTAATAAAGATCTATGAGCAGCGAAACGCGTAAACGCATTTACTCCTGCTTTCCATCACTGGCTCTGGCACTGCAAGTATAACAAGTGTGGGGGCGGCTCATGCTTGTTCAGGGTCAGTAGTGGGACATACTCCTCCATTGAGGGCTCTGTAATAAATATCTATGAGCAGCGAAACGCGTAAACGCATGTACTCCTGCTTTCCATCAATGTCCTGGGCACAGCAAGTATAACAAGTGTTGGGGCGGCTCATGCTTGTTCAGGGTCAGTAGTGGGACATACTCCTCCATTGAGGGCTCTGTAATAAATATCTATGAGCAGCGAAACGCGTAAACGCATGTACTCCTGCTTGCCATCACTGTCCTGGGCACAGCAAGTATAGCAAGTTTTGGGGTGGTGTAATAAAGATCTATGAGCAGCGAAACGCGTAAATGCATGTACTCCTGCTTTCCATCACTGGCTCTGGCACTGCAAGTATAACAAGTGTTGGGGCGGCTCATGCTTGTTCAGGGTCAGTAGTGGGACATACTCCTCCATTGAGGGCTCTGTAATAAATATCTATGAGCAGCGAAACGCGTAAACGCATGTACTCCTGCTTGCCATCAATGTCCTGGGCACAGCAAGTATAACAAGTGTTGGGGCGGCTCATGCTTGTTCAGGGTCAGTAGTGGGACATACTCCTCCATTGAGGGCTCTGTAATAAATATCTATGAGCAGCGAAACGTGTAAACGCATGTACTCCTGCTTGCCATCACTGTCCTGGGCACAGAAAGTATAGCAAGTGTTGGGGTGGTGTAATAAAGATCTATGAGCAGCGAAACGCGTAAACGCATGTACTCCTGCTTGCCATCACTGTCCTGGGCACAGCAAGTATAACAAGTGTGGGGGCGGCTCATGCTTGTTCAGGGTCAGTAGTGGGACATACTCCTCCATTGAGGGCTCTGTAATAAATATCTATGAGCAGCGAAACGCGTAAACGCATGTACTCCTGCTTGCCATCACTGTCCTGGGCACAGAAAGTATAGCAAGTGTTGGGGCGGTGTAATAAAGATCTATGAGCAGCGAAACGCGTAAATGCATGTACTCCTGCTTTCCATCACTGGCTCTGGCACTGCAAGTATAACAAGTGTGGGGGCGGCTCATGCTTGTTCGGGGTCAACAGTAGGACATACACCTCCATTGAGGGCTCTGTAATAAATATCTATGAGCAGCGAAACGCGTAAACGCATGTACTCCTGCTTGCCATCGCTGACTCTGGCACTGCAAGTATAGCAAGTGTGGGGGCGGCTCATGCTTGTTCGGGGTCAGCGGTGGGACATACACCTCCATTTCGGACATCAGCATTGTCAGTCTGGGCGGGAGGGGAGTGTCAGATGGACTAACAGATTTAGATACACTAACAAATTGAAGCCAAACTCCGGCTCACACTTCATAATCCATTACAGGGACAGTTTTGTTCCTTTTGGGATAAAGATTTTACATCAATTAATAAAATCTGATCATTGTCAGTGGGAAATTGTTTGGCTCATCCCTCTAACTGCTACATCTGCATGAGAGCTTGTGCTTTTGAAATGCAACAGACCTTTTTTCTGCCTTCCTCTGGATCAACGGTGAGTGTAGGACTATAACTTTTTTTTTTTTTGAATGGTTGAACTGGATGGACTTTTGTCTTTTTTCAGCCAGACTAACTATGTAACAATATTGTGCTTCATAAATAGGCCTCCTCTACGCGTTTCACAGGGACTGCCACCCACTTCCTCAGGAGGATGCAGAATAAGGGTTAGTCCGGGGCAGGGGCAGACTGATATTCGGGCACTCGGGGTCAGTACGGAGCCCCATGAGATGCCCCGGGTACCTTTCATAGGCATTTTTGGGTGTGGTTTGAGTGTGGGCGAGGACACAGGGGCCCCATGATCCCCTATTGCCCGGGGGCCCCAGGAGTTCTCAGTCCACCCCTGGTCCGGGGGTGCTCAATTTTTTGAAGGGGCCATAATGAAATGAAATGTAACTATGAATTTCTGGCTGGATTATGAGATGAAACTAGAAGAAAGAAAGCCTAAGAAAGAAAACGAATGCAGCCGCCACATCTGAGGATCGGTGAGCTGCAGTACAGGGGCGGACTGACAACTCATGGGGCCCCCGGGCAATAGGGGATCATGGGGCCCCTGTGTCCTTGCCCACACCCAAAAAAGCCTATGAAAAAGCCCATGAAAGGTACCAGGGGCATCTCATGGGGCCCCCTACTGACCCTGGGCCCTCGGGCAGTGCCTGAGCGCTCTAATGGTCAGTCCGCCCCTGCTGCAGTATAATAAATGTTTGATTTTGGGCCTAATAAAGCTTTAATAAAGAACAAAAAAAAAGCGAAAACAGTATTTTATTACAAAGAAAACCCCGTTTATGATGTAGAAATGGAAACGTCGCTCAGTTTGGGGTTTTCATCTGTCGTAAATAAAATAATTCGGCAACTAAAGCGGCGCCGGGGGACCTGCGCACTTTTATAAAAAAATTCTTCGGGATAAATCAGAGCGGCTTCCTCGCTTCACTTAAAGAGACAATTTTATTTAAAATTGCAAAATAGTAAGCAGGCGCGACCGGCGAGTCTAAAAAAAAAGCTTCCGAAAAAAGTAAAAAAAAAATTCTGCGATTTATGAAAAAAACAAAAACAAAGAAATTACCTTTTTTTCATAAATGGCGCTCATCATCAGGCAGGAAGATTTTCGGGAAGCCGGGGACGACTGACAGGCGGCAGATCATAGAAAACATCGTCTGCGAGATTTTAAAGCACAGAGATCTATTATTCAGCGCAAGGCTACGAGAGACGTCCCCGCGCAGCGGGAGGACGCAACATGCGGGAGGGAGTCGGCGCAGGTATGAGAGACGTCCCCGCGCAGCGGGAGGACGCAACATGCGGGAGGGAGTCGGCGCAGGTATGAGGTGCCTGCAGCAGAAACCTGCTGCTGGGGGGGGGGGGGGGGACTACAAGTGGCAGCATGCCTAGGTGTCCGTTTTGGCACCTGCGACTCCTCAGCGGCGTTTTCTGCCGGATTGCAGGAAGAGAAGATAAAATCAGAATATCGTGGAATTTAGAGGATTTAAAAAAAAAAACCCAAAACCAGCTGAGCAGACATGGCTGTCATTTCACGTTATATAACCGCTGAGCGGATGAAAGCGACGCCGGCGAGGTGATGTAATTAACAAACAAGCCGCAGATGTAGCCGAGTGCGTTCTGCGCTCTCTTTGTGCCGCGCGGGTTGTGTTTTATCTCTGGCTCGGCGAGGTTTGATGCCTTTTTTTTTCTTCTGCATAAAATGCAAATGGAATCAGTGAACCGCTAAACGCTTTCTAGGAAACTCCACATCTGGGCTGGAATCGGAGAATTCATCCAGCTGTCTTTATCGTTGACATTTTAAATAATGCATTGTAGACAGATTCAGCAGGCTTTTCACAGTGCATCCGAAAAGGCCTGCAGGATATGCAGGAAAACTGTAGAGGGCGACGCTTGGAATCAGTGAACAGGTGACCGCCATTTTCCTAATCGGGGTGGATTTAGTAGGGTGTTCTGTAGAGTTGAGGTCAGGGCTCTGTGCAGGACACTCAGGTTCCTCCACACCACACTGGTCATCCATGTCTTTATGGAGCTGACATTGTACACAGTGGACAATCATGGGGGAACAGTAAAGGGTCTTCACCAAACTGTTACCACCAGGTTGGAAGAGCACAATCAAAGTTCCAATTCAATCCAAAGGTGTTCAGTAGGGTTGAGGTCAGGGCTCTGTGCAGGACACTCAAGTTCCTCCATGACCTCAACCTTATTGAACACCTTTGGTATAAGAAGACCTCATCCCAAAGGTGTTCGGTTAAGGGCAGGTGCTGATGTTGGAAAAGAGCTTACAGTATACTAAAGGTCTTCCAAAAGTAGGGTTGGGGTCAGGGCTCTGTACAGGACACTCAAGTTCCTCCACACCAAACTGGTCAAACCATGTCTTTATGGAGCTGGCGTTATACACAGTGGACAGTCATGGAGGAACAGAAAAGGGTCTTCACCAAACTGTTACCACCAGGTCGGAAGAGTCCAATCGAAGTTACAATTCAACCCAAAGGTGTTCAGTAGGGTTGAGGTCAAGGCTCTGTGCAGGACACTCAAGCTCCTCCATGACCTCAACCCTATTGAACACCTTTGGTATAAGAAGACCTCATCCCAAAGGTGCTCGGTTAAGGGCAGGAGCTGATGTTGGATAACAGCTTATACCAAAGGTCTTCCAAAAGTAGGGTTGAGGTAAGGGCTGTGTGCAGGACACTCAAGTTCCTCCACAGCACACTGGTCATCCAATTCTTTGTGGAGCTGGCGTTGTACCAGACACAAGGTCAGAAGAGCACAATCAAAGTTCCAATTCAACCCAAAGGTGTCCAGTAGGGTTGAGGTCAGGGCTCTGTGCAGGACACTGGAGTTCCTCTACACCACACTAGTCATCCATGTCTTCGTGGAACTGGCATTGTACACAGGGCACAGTCATGGAGGAACAGAAAATAGTCTTCACCAAACTGTTACCACAAGGTCGGAAGAGCACAATCGAAGTTCCAATTCAACCCAAAGGTGTTCAGTAGGGATGAGGTCAGGGCTCTGTGAAGGACACTCAAGTTTCTCCAACTTCATCTTCAAGAACTTCAAGAAAACCTCATCTCATAGGTGTTGGGTTAAGGGCAGGTGCTGATGTTGGATAAGAGCTTATACCAAAGGTCTTCCAAAAGTAGGGTTGGGGTCAGGGCTCTGTGCATGACACTCGAGTTCCCCCACACCAAACTGGTCATCCATGTCTTTATGGAGCTGGCGTTGTACACAGTGGACAGTCATGGGAGAACAAAAAAGGGTCTTCACCAAACTGTTACCAAAAGGTTGGAAGAACACAATTTCTGCAATATCTTTGTATGATGTAGCACAAACAGGACCCTTCACTGGAGATACCTGAACTTAGTCATCTCTAGGAGTGTCCACATACCTTGGGCCATGTAGAGTTTAAAATTGGATGACCCTTTCTTGGATTTGTCGATGATTGCTTTGCAGTTACCATTATTTAAAGAGTTTTTTTAGTCCTGAGCCTGCAAAGACAAGGCTTTATTTCGAAAGAGAAGACAATCAGTGTTCAGAAAGGTTGAGGTCAGGGCTCTGTACAGGACACTCAAGTTCCTCCACACCAGACTGGTCAAACCATGTCTGGAGCTGGCTTTTCTCTTTTGGAAAGGCTTCCCACAAAAACTTGCAGTATGTCTGTGGGAATTTGTGTCCAATCAGCCAATGGAACATTTGAGATGTTGGATGAGAAGACCTGGCTCACTATCAGCATTCCAATTCATTCCAAAGGTGTTCAGTAGGGTTGAGGTCAGGGCTCTATATAGGACACTCAAGCTCCTCCACACCAAACTGGTCAAACCATGTCTTTATGGAGCTGGCTTTACTCTTCTGGAAAGGCTTCCCTCAAAATTTTTGGAGTGTCTGTGGGAATTTGTGTCCAATCAGCCAAAGGAACATTTGTGAGATAGGGTACTGATTATGGATGAGAAGACCTGGCTCATCATCGACATTCCAATGAATCCCAAAGGTGTTCAGTAGGGTTGAGGTCAGGGCTCTGTGCAGGACACTGGAGTTCCTCCACACCAAAGTGATCAAACCATGTCTTTATGGAGTTGGCTTTGTACACAGGGGACAGTCATGGGGGAACAGAAAAGGGTCTTCACCAAACTTTTACCACAAGGCTGGAAGAACATAATTGTCTACAATGTCTTTGTATGATGGAGGATTACCAGGACCCTTCAGTGGAGACACATGACTTTAGTCATCTGTAGGAGTGCCTACATATGTTGGGTCATGTAGAGTTTGAAATTGGATGACCCTTTCTTGGATTTTTCGATGTGCGCTTAACAGTTACCATTGATTAAAGAGTTTTTTTAGTCCTGCAAAGAAAAGGCCTTATTTCAAAAGAGAAGGCAGTCGGTGTTCAGTAGGGTTGAGGTCAGGGCTCTGTACAGGACACTCAAGCTGCTCCATGACCTCAACCCTATCGAACCCCTTTGGTATAAGGAGACCTCATCCCAAAGGTGTTCAGTTATGGGCAGGTGCTGATGTTGGATAACAGCTTATACCAAAGGTCTTCCAAAAGTAGGGTTGAGGTCAGGGCTGTGTGCAGGACACTCGAGTTCCTCTACACCACACTGGTCATCCAATTCTATGTGGTGCTGGCGTTGTACCAGACACAAGGTCAGAAGAGCACAATCAAAGTTCCAATTCAAACCCAAAGGTGTCCAGTAGGGTTGAGGTCAGGGCTCTGTGCACGACACTCGAGTTCTTCCACACCAAACTGATCACCCATGTCTTTATGGAGCTGGTTTTGTACACAGGGGGCAGTCATGGAGGAACAGAAAAGGGTCTTCTCCAAACTGTCACCACAAGGTCGGAAGAGCACAGTTTTCTGCAATGTCTTTGTATGATGGAGGATTACCAGGACCCTTCACTGGAGACACTTGAATTTGACTATTTGAAGGTGTTCAGTTAAAGGCAGGTGCTGATGTTGGATAAGAGCTTATACTAAAGGTCTTCCAAAAGTAGTACACGACACTCCTCTACACCAAACTGGTCCTCCATGTCTTTGTGGAGCTGACATTGTACACAGTGGACAATCATGGAGGAACAGAAAAGGGTCTTCACCAAACTGTTACCACAGGGTTGGAAGAGAACAATCGAAGTTCCAATTCAACCCAAAGGTGTTCAGCAGGGTTGAGGCCAAGGCTCTGTGCAGGACCCTCAAGCTGCTCCATGACCTCAACCCTATTGAACCCCTTTGGTATAAGGAGACCTCATCCCAAAGGTGTTCGGTTAAGGGCAGGTGCTGATGTTGGATAAGAGCTTATCCAAAAGGTCTTCCAAAAGTAGGGTTGAGGTCAGGGCTCTGTGCACGACACTTGAGTTCCTCCACACCAAACTGGTCACCCATGTCTTTATGGAGCAGGGTTTTGTATACAGGGGGCAGTCATGGAGGAACAGTTTGGAGAAGGGTCTTCTCCAAACTGTCACGACAAGGTCGGAAGAGCACAGTTTTCTGCAATGTCTTTGTAAGATGGAGGATTACCAGGACCCTTCACTGGAGACACTTGAATTTGACTATTTGGAGGGGTCCAGATTACCAGTGACCTTCACTTGGGACACCTGAACTCCAGCATTTGGAGGGGTGACTACTTCTGGCATATATAATATATATGTTGAGTCTTGTATATTCTGTACTAGCAGAGCGATCTATAACCGAACTGCCTGTGTTGTTGTCAGTGGGTGGAAGGTGTGGAGATC